CGTTTGACCCTTGTGCAACAGCAAAAGTGTGTGAGAGCAGCGTTGAAAGCTGCTGTGCAGCTCCAGGCTGTGCTCCTCTCCTTTTCTGCAGCTTTTTAAGCTGTCTACAGGGTACAGAGCGTTCCAAGGTAAGAGGAGAACAGATGCTTTGCTGACCTGAGCTTGTTGAGCAGCCTTGGAGATTGAAGGCAGACCCTAGCAGGGCCTGGTAACTCGGGTTTTAAATCCTGTAGGGATTTTGGCCTCCTTTTTGGCTGCAAGAATTGGCTCTTTCAGCAAAGAGGACTGTGTGCAACTGATGCCCTGGGAGCCTCGAGCTCAGAATGGAATTTTAGCATCTATTGCAGAGCTTGACATTTCTCTGTATTTCCCATGTTGCTTCCCAGCCTGTGACCTAAATTATGAGCAGAAGATATTAAGCCTGGATTTTAACTTAAGAGCTGACTACACCCACAGGACGAATTAAAACACAGTGTTGTTTTTCCACTGAAGGTAAGCAAGCAGTGAAATTATACTGGATTCTTTATTTAAACTGCTGCCAGAAGCATGAAGTTGTGAGCCATAGCCTTTCCTAAGTCTGCTCCTTCCAAGCCCCCACAATGGTTAGACACAGCATAGTCACAGAATCATACAGGCTGGAAAAAATGACTCAGATCCCCAACCCCAGCCCACCCCCGCCATGCCCACTGCCCACAGTACTACATCTCCATGGCTCTGGAACACCTCCAGGGATGGTGACCCCCCCACTGCCTGGGCAGCTCTGCCACTGCATCACCGTAGCCCTGGTTTGGCTTGTTGGCTTGTGACGTGAGGAAATGCCATCTCACCTAAATTCCTTACTTCTCTCTGCCTGCTATCAAAACTGTTGTTCCCCAAACTAGCATTTGCCATCTCTTTTAAAAATAGCTGGAATTCCTTCACCATAAATTCTGTTGGATTTTGTGTGTGCTGGCATGAATATTGGAGTGCCCAACCACTTATCTGTGCTGGGTTTGCAGCTACCTGGCTGCCACCACTTCTGTAAGTATTAAATACCTTTTTTTTTTTGAAATCCTTTAAAAAAAAAATCCAAATTTGCAAATGAGATTCTAAATAGATATTCTCAGTCTTTAAATAACCCCATCTCCTTCCATTATATGTTTCCCTGGGCCAGGTCTTTCAGCTACTCATGCTATACTAGTGCATTTAAACCTTCTGTCCTTCGGTGGAAAGTGAGATGCTTAAACCACAATCCCCCTTGGCTCTTTTGGGGAAGATTTGGTTCATGTTGCACAGTGAGGTGCTTCATATTGGGTGCATTTGATGCTGTGAAATTTCAGCTAAACCACAAAAGAGTTAACTGATTTTTTGCAGGTTCCAATCTAAGTTCATCCCGTGTCAGGATTTTCTCCCCATAGACAAGGTCATAATCTCATATCTGAAGGCAAATCTATAAAATGCATTTTAGTGATCCCATGGAGTCGTTTCCCAGGCAACTTACCATCTCCATCTGCAGCGGGCTGTGGGCTTTGCCTGGCCTTGTGCTGGGGAGTCTGCCACCAGCCAGTGCCCCTGGCCAGGCCCTGTGCAGGGCAAAAACACAGAATGTGTTTTTTGGTTTGGGAAGTTTCCCCTTGAAGCTAAATTTATTGTGGGCCTGATATCCTCCAGTATGGATGCTTGGGTTGGAAAGATGCACAGTGTGGTTGCAGGGCTGTTGCATCACACCAAATGGGTGATAGCTTCTGGGAACACCATGCAATGTGCACCCCAACTTGGTGAGGATGGGTGATCCAGGAGCTGCCTCTGTCCAAGGAGAAATGCTGGCAGTGCAAGAGATGAGGATTCCTCCTTTCCAAAGTCAGAAACGTGAGAATCAGAAAATCACCTTATACAGGGCAATAACCATAGTAAATACATTTTCCTTTTGTGCTGCCTTCATTCTTGCAGAATGGGACTGACCTCAAAAGGATTTTGGAGAGCATGAAGCATGCATGAACAGCGTGCACTCTTCTTCGAAACCCATCTCAATCCCTGTCAGTGGGTCTATGGGAGAGGTTGTAGGTCAGAAAATAGCCCTGGGAAATTCCAAGCTATCAGGCTCTGTGTTTCCCATCTCTGACTTTTGGAACAGAAATAGCCAGATTGTGCCTTGTGAGATCTGCAGGGATTGTAAAGCAGTTTGGTGTGGCTTAAGATCACGGTGTGTAATTTTGTTAAAAACTCACACTTTGAGATGTGCACCAAGTAGGCACAGTTGTGCTGAACTGTGAATCGTTCCAGATAAGGGAAATCTTTGGGTTGCACTCCTGGTTACGTCTTTGATGTGCAGTTATCAGTATCCAAGCTAGGCTGGTATGCCCGCAGTATAGATGTGCCCTAAGGCCAAGAGCTTCAACTTTCAAAGAACATGTGTTGAGAGCCTCTGCCCTTATATCAGAACCTTGCAAAGAGCTGAATCACGGCATTTTTAGCTCCTGTCCTGTTGGCTTAGATGATACTGATCTTACAAAATTTGGCAATGCAGCGAACTGTAGGGTTATTTGAGTTTCAAAGGATCTTTTGCGTGTATTGAAGTCCCGCCGTTCCTGCCGTTATGGGAGCTGTGTGAGCTTCTCTTTCTTTGTCACCTGTTTTTAATTTGTTGTGCAAGTGTGGAGAACCTCATTTCTCTTGAAGTGATGGAGAAGGGCAGGTCTGGGCTGGGCTCTGGAGCCCAGTGCTGGATCCCTGTGCTGATAGAAGTATCACCTCATCCCCTGACATTGCCCTTCTTCCATAAACCCTGCTGAGATGGCATCTCAGCTGTCCTGTCACACTCATGTTATTGTCCAGTGTTCAGGACCAGGTGAGTAATGCCCATGGTGCTACCATGAAGTGTTAGCTCAGCTGTGCTCCTTCCTGTCGTGTAGTTGAGTCCTTAAGCTGCCCTTGCAGCTCTAAAAAAGCCCTCTGCTCTTAAAAAGAAGCTTTAAGCCCCTTTGAAAGTTTCACCCCACGTATCTTCACTCTTCATGGTTAGGACTCTCTCAGTCTTTACTGAAAGTGCAGTACTGAAGTCTGTCAGAGAATTTTTTCCGTGTACTTGTGTGATGGGAATTGGGCTTAAAAGCATGAACTAGAACTACACAAATGAAAGAACTGGCTGTCAGCAGGCAGACTCTTTGGAAGGAAGAAAGTCATTGGGATTTTCTGTGGACTACCTGGTTGCTTCTGAGAGTCAACACAGCATCACGCTGCATTGACAGTCCTATTAATGCAGTGTGTCTCCCACATTTTTGCTGTAGGGAGTATCTGGAGAATATCCCATGTTTTATCCTCAGAGAGTAATCCTGATCCTCATCATTTATGGCCTTTCCTATTTTTTGGAGAGCAAGGTTGTGTCTCCTCTCCAATTACTGGATTTTGTGTTTGCTCTTGATTAACGATTAGCAGTTGATTACTTCTAAAGTTAGCAGCCCTGGTGGGAGGAACACATGCAAGACAAATTTGAAGACCCTGATGTCTTCAAATTAAAAGGAGAGGGGATTATAGGCTGAATAAAGGAGGCTGATGCCACTTTTCAAAGAGTTGTATCATGGGCTGAGACAGCCATGTGCAACAAGTTTTGAACAAGAAAACTGAAATATCTTCTGCTTTTTGGCTTGTGATATTTTCAGATGAAGTAATTGATAAGAAGGAGAGAATTCAAGGGAAAATCATACTTGTTGGTGGCTTGTGCCCTGACAAAAACATGTCAGCGTGGGCACCAACTGCATGACAGCAGCACCAACTCTGCCCTACCTGAGAACATTTATAGGCAATGATTGTCACCAAGTGTTGCTGCACAGAGCAAGCAGTGAAGCTCCATCCCTTCATCCATGGAGTCAGAGGCACTTGGCATTTGGGGAGCTTCTGTCCCAAGCTTCTGTCTCTCACTGCCCTTCCAAGGCAGCATGGTAGTAGGGTTTTATTTTCTTGCCCAGAAATCTGAAAGCACCAGTATGGTCTCAATGAAAGCTGGGCTTTGTATTCCGTTTAGTAGGTCATGATGGAGAAGACCGTGTCAAAAGGCTTTTGCAGAAAAGGACAGTTCCTCAAAAGAGGCTGTAACATACGTGTTTATTTAAGTGGCACAGACAAATAGAAGGAGAATAGTGGTGAGTTAGAGGAGCATAAAGAACAGATGGGAAACGCTCCGAGTTTTGAAGAAAAGGTGTTCCTCACGTCCTGCTGCTGTTCCAGATGTTGCCACTCACTCCCTAATGGTGTTTCAGGTCCTGTGTTGCAGCTCTGCCTTGCTGCCCTGCTCACAATTGCCAAGAGCTGATCTGTGGAGTGGCTGAGATTTCCCCATCGCCAATATTGCCTGTGCAGAAGGAAAAGAGCCACTCCTGCATTTCGGTCTTGAGATTTTCTCATAATTGTGTGCCAAAATGGAGGTAAATTCCATACTTTCCCAACGAAAGGAGGACCAGGACTGTTTGTAGAGGAAATGAGAGCTGACAGATGTTTCACATCCAGCTGACCTGCTGCCATGCTGAAGGTCACTCCAGAGTAAAATCTGCCCAGGTGTGGGCCGTTCAGCACCTCCTGTCCTGGTGAGCATTTTGGCATCCTCTGGGTCTCTCACTGGAAGACAACAAATATAGACCTGCAGGTTAGTGCCCTGCTTTTTGTTTCCTAGCCACAATTGTTTCACTGGGTTAGCTCTGACCAGCTTTTGCTGTACATCACCCATTTCCATTCCTAAGTGACATACTGCTTATTTGTAAACATCTCAAGGACTTAGAGAAGAGAAAAAATGATTTTACAGAGCAATTCTTTATGGACTGAAGTATGCACATTTGCTTGAGCCAAAACACACTTTTGATGCCTTAGATTAATACAAAAAACTTTTGTATTAATTATATATTATATATAATATATATATTACATATATATTATATTTGTATTAATATAATACAATATTATTATATATTTTATATTTTATATATATATATAATATAATTTGTATTAATTATTAATATATTGTCAAGTTTTTCTTGTCTTTCTCAGCCTTACCAGCTGGAGAACTCTGGGACAGAATGCAATAAAATATATAAAAATTATGGCCCTTAAAGCTGCCTAACTATTTCTCTTTTTTCAGTACTATTTATACTATTTATAGTCACTTTTCTTGTTTCCTTTAGAGTTTGATCTCTTTAAAGTTTGATCCCTTCTTCTTAAATCACATCAGAATTTCCTACTTCCTTTTCTCACCGCTGCCAGAAAACATTGCCTTTTTCTGGTCTTTCTGGGCCCATTTTTCATTCTTGCTTCCACTTGAACAACTATTCATACTTTCTTAGATCATCGAGATCTTTGTTGCATCCAAGCAGAAATGGGGCTTCAGCTTTGACAGGTGTCTTTTTAGCTCAGCACTGACATCTTTTCTTAGGCTGCAACTTCCTGCAGGATCTATTTGAGACGTTTCCGAACGCATAAATTACGTTGGCACGCACAAAGAAGAACAACAGAAATGTTAATTACTGCCACTTTCCAATTGCTGAGTCTCTCCTTAATGGGTTGAGCAAGTTTTGTCTGGTGTGCTTTTTTCTTTTCTTTCTTCCTCTTTTTTTTTCTTTTTCTCCAGATAAATTATCAAACGACTTCAACATTTGGCGATGGTGCGCTCGGAATAATGAGAGCTTGTTTTTCACGTTGTTGCTCTTCATGCAGATCCTTTTTCTGAAGGCACGCTAAGGGAGCTGACAAAAAACGCAATATGATTTATAAGCCCAAAATACTTTCTGCCATGCTTAAAGATGTTTTTGCCAAAAGCGCTGTTCTTGTCATATCCCATAAAAAGCATGAAGGTGGTGGTGTGGGGAGATGGGATGGGGACGTTTGCGGATCGCCCGCAAGGTGCCATGTGCTGCCATCCATGGACGTTTGGCGTAGGTTTCGCATCGCTGCACAATTTGATGGCATCTCAGATCTGCCCCGTGCTGGGAAATGGGACCATCAGTGCCGGGTAAGGAAACTCGTGCTGTCTCTGCCCACATCATCTCCGTGTACTTCAACCGGGAAAAGGAATATAAATATAGAGATGATGATTTAGACTTCAAAATGCTGACGACGGTGACGATGACGCAGCTGAGAGTTCCTGTCTGAGGTAGGATTGAAAATGTGACTTTAAAGCTAATTCCTACTTCTGGCACAGGAGATGAGGCAGCAGCTCCATCCCTTTAGCTGTGACAGTGACACGGCTGGCCATGATGGCACAGAAGTTCTCTGAAGTTGTGCAGCCACCTGGACCTGCGGTGCCCATCGCTGCTTGACCGTAAATCCTCCGCCAGACTGGATGTGGCTCTGGGCAGCCCGGTCTGGTGGTTGGCAACTCTGCCCATGGCAGGAGGGGGGTTGAAACTAGATGATCTTTGAGGTCCTTTTCAACCCAGGCCATTCTGTGATTCTGTGATCTCCTCATGTAGTTCACCACCCCATGCTCTCTGCACACCTCCTTGCTGGTGAGCATCTGGTCACACAAAGCCCACAGATCAAAACACTTTTGAGGAGTGGGAGACTGTAAAGCCTTTTTGATTTTTCTCCTCATAGATCAAACGTGCATGTCAGAAGGTGCACTGCTTACCTGCTGCTAACATGGGCTTGGTCACAATGGAATTGCATGGACAATAACGTTTTAAAGAGGAGTCGTGAATCTTTTAAGCAGGGGTTGCAGTGCCGTGGCTCAACATGAAGCCTCTCGCTCTGCAGTTTGCTCCAGCAGAGATGGGAACTTGCCTCCCAGGCCTTACCCCACAAAGTGTCAGCATGGGACGTGCTGCTGCTGGGACACAACCAGATTTAAAGGGGTTAGAAACACAGCAGGCAGCTGCCCAGATTATCCTAGTGTGACCTGTGGCAACCTTCTATGCCTCCATAGACAAAATCTGCTCCAAGATACAGGCAATGGCTTCACTTGCATCCCCACAAGGGACACAGCACAAGGTGTGAGCCCAGCAATAACCAACGAAGGAACAAAACCTGCTTTCTGTACTCTGTTTTTCCTCCATCTTTGTGCCTTGCTGGGTTTTTCTGTTATCACAGAGTCAGAAATATATTTGCAGTCTGTGAGTACCATTAATTTCCATTTTGCACTTTGCTGTGATCTCAAAGCAAACCACCCTGGCTCTTCAATTTTTTGATGCTCTGGAAAGCCAGGGAAGCTTTGAGCTTGGAGCACAATTTCCCAGCTGCATTCCTCAAACAAGGCCATACCGTGGTTTGTCTGTGGCCATCCTAGAGGGGAATGAGAAGCTTTGGCACCTTGCCCTGGTTCAGACTACTAACCCAATCTAGTTTTACAATGTTCAGGGTTGTATTAATGGGCCAGGTACGCTTTCACTTTTATTATTTTGATCCCTTAGCAGAGGCGTGAAGTGCCAGCTTAAACGCTTCAGATTTATTATTGTGATGGAGGAGAGAAATATCAGCTTCTTATAGGCCTATTAATCTCATTAATTATGCAAGCTTGATGGATTTACCTGGAAGCTTTGCACTGTGTTTCATGAGTTTTTTGGAGAGAAGCAGAAGGAGAACAACTAGATGCAATACACTATCCTGTTAATAGGTCAACAGATGATTGTTGTTGGCCTTGCAGGAAGTAGAAGCTATTGCTGCTAATTTACTCTCACGAAATGCAAATTTTAAGGATGCTGAAAATGTATCATGTTTCTTAATGATTCATACGACCTATGATAGCTATTGGTGAACCTTACCTGGGGACAAGGCTTCAGGCTGAGTGCTTTGCAGACGAAGTGGAAGATGGAAATGTCAATTGCCACTTGTTCTGTTAAACCTGATTCATCGAAACCTGAAGTGGGACTATCTTGAATGTTTCTAAATTTCCACATATGCTTTATGCATGCAAATCACAGCTGTGGTGCATTACGCTGCACCCAGAATACCTGGAAAAAAAATAAACTCAAAGTTAGGTGCAAGCGTGAGACGTTTTTAGTGGAAATCCCAAACTTTACTTCCCTTTTCCCTATGAGAGAGTCAGATCCTAAGGGCAGGAGTCAGTGTCTGGTGAACTTCCCTGGCTTTTAGGTAGAACTGGAAGCAGAAAACAGCGTAAGGAATTTTGCTGAAAGAGTTTCTTCTTGTGAGCATTTATCATGTGGGCACAAATAAATAAATACATGCTTACAAATCCTCAGGTTAACCATAGATTTCTTCCTCCTTCTCAGCTCAGATGTGATTGATTTGTTTTGTGAAGGAAATTTGCTGCCCTGTGAGCATCTTTCCCACCCTGCATGTGGAACACCCTTAATGAGCATATTTGATTGCTGTTTGTTTTGGTTTTTTTTCTCCTTCCTTCAGCAGCTCACACAAGAACAGCCTTCCTCCACTGTCTGAAATCTCAGTAACCTGTAGCTGTGCCCCAGGAACCACAACGCAGCCTCCTTGGGAGCCCCTGGGAGCTGCTGGATTGCCCCACTTGGTTGTCCTTCTGTTACCTCCTCCTGCTGAAGGAGCCTATGGACCTCATGTCCCAAGCTTGTCAGGTAGAAATGTGACCAAACCCACTGTTTTATAGATATGTGATAAAGGAGGGCATACAGGGTACAAACTCAGTAATGCACCAAAGGTCACCCAGCGATACCTGAGGTACAGCTCCACAGCGAACCTAGAAATCCTAAACTTTAATCACAAGCTATTCTTGTTCCTCCTTTTCATGACAGTGTTGTGAGAAGGCTAATTTTGTATTAAAATTGAGTTAGATCGATGCAGATACAATGGAAGTGGATGCTACATTTTGCTCTAACGGCATCCAACGCGGAGAGCTTTTCTTTGCAGCAGGAACGTGGGCTAATCCGCTTATCGGTTGGAGTTGGAGGTCCTGTACGAGTTGCACTGAATGTTCAGTTCAAATGAAAGGATTTTCCTGTGTTCCTAAGAGAACACATACTGAATGTGCAAATAGACAAATGTTCTCCAGATGGTTTTTACAAATGGGTTGCTTGCTATGGTGTTTAAATCAAGCTAACTTCATCTTGTGTCTCTGTAGTTCTGTTGGTCAGGAAGAGTCTTTAGGAGTACATTGAAGTAATTTTGAGCAATGGTAAGCACTTTGTTAAAAAGTAAGAATTAGGAGATTATATCAAGCACTGGTATGATCAGTACTGCTATGTACAGTGATCATGAAAATAAAGTGCAACACAACCTTCGATCCAATTATGACTTTTCCTACAAGAAGTGTCAGAGGCTCTTAAATGTTTCTTCCAGCTTTATCTGTAGCCTTTATTACTTTGTACTTCCTAGAATTAAATGCAACTACATCAGGAAACTGAATGTTCGAGGTAAAGTTGCTGTAAGTTACATAAGCTTCAGCCTCCCCAGAGGCTCTTGCAGAGTTCCCATCTCGAGCCCTTGTACATTGATTTTTCAGTGTATACACCAAAAGGAATGCAGCACTGGAGGCCGCTGAGTCACTGGCTTGTACCTCTGTACCACTGCATGAATGTCAAAAAAAGATTTCTGGTGTTTTCATTCGAAGGGAAAAGAAAATAATTTCATTTTTTTCAGCGTTGCCTCAGTGGCGTGGTTTAACATTCAGGGAACTTGCAGAGCCCATACTGCTTGAACAGCACTCTGTAGAACTGAACCAACAAATGCTGCACTACTCTTAATTTTGTAGCAGTAAAAAACAATGCTCTTACACAATAAATAATGGTTTGATGTAAATCAGTGGAATTATTAATCCTACAGAAGACTTTATTGGATAAACTTGACATAAACTTGACATCTGTCTGAATACAAGAGAAGAAAATAGTGTCCTAAGAACTTCAGTAGTAAGAAGAGCATTTAAGATCTGCTAAAATGAAAAATTAAAAGCTAAGCATGTAGAAAAAGGAAAAGAGAGCTACGTATTTTGTCATGCATTGTGATAGGCATTGTATCTTCTTTGATTATAACAAGTTTCTTTGAAGAATATTTCTACTTAAAATACACCTCTACTTATTTTCCCTGGCAGACAGGCTTTAAAGATCTAAATACGATGTACTGGAGGAGGTAAAAATTCTTGAAGTGTATTTTTGAAGTCTTTAGACCTTTGACCACATTTGCTATGATGACACAGACTTAACAGTAAACCCACTTGAAAGACATTTCCATGGAACACTTTAAACGGAATCAGTTGGTACTTTCATAATGGCAGCTGAATGTGTGTTCTTGCCATTTTCCCATTTAACAAGAAGAAAAGGCCAAACAAGAACCAATTAGTCACAATAAAATCAGCTTTGATGACATTTTCACTCCTGAACTCTGGTATAAAATGGTCATCTAAGAAAGAACTGAAAGGATATGTGAGGAACTTGGTGGTATAACTGCATGTACATACATACACACTCCTGAGCAAGAAATGATCAGGTAAAGATGCAGCAATGTAATTGCTATTTGGAGAAGATATACTGTTTTTGTGTTTAAACAGACACGTAGAGCCTTGCTTGATTTTTGTTCCACGTTTTAACTGGTTGTAATTTGTCTTTGAAGTCTATGCAGGTTAAACCTTCTTTACATCCTTTGGATCTCAGCAGTGTTTGTGTGCTCGGCTTACCCAGTTGGCCCTTCCATGGTAAGTCATGCTCCCTGGTTACTGGAAGATCAGATGTTCCATTTATTTTATGTATCTGGTGGTGGTGGTGGTTGGTTTGATTTTTTAATTAAATGAAAGGAACTTCTATTGAGTAAACATTATCTAATATCTGGATAATATTGTCTGAAACGGAGCTTGTTTTTGCTTTAGCTACACATAAAATCTGCAATCCTGTAAGATTGTCATGTAAGAAATCTGCTGCATGTTGGATGTTGAGTGTGAAGAACTTTTGCCAGTGTTGAAATACCATACGGATAAGAGGGAATCATCAGTCTCCCCCCATTTCATTTCAGTTCCTCGTTGACGTCCAGTAGGTAGAATAACAGATGTGTGTTTATTTCATTTGTTGAAATTATAAATTATAAACCAGTGAGTTAGTTAGTCACTGCTATTAATATGTGCAGGTAAAGGAGAAATACCAAGCTGGGAAAATTATTCTGTAGAATCGGTAACACCCCCTTGGTATCATGGACTGTTTAACTTTCTTAAACGGTGAAATCAAAGTGAGTTTGCTATTTAAAGAACACTGCTAATAATCCTTCTGTTCTCAACCAAGGCAGTATGAGAGGCTGTTGCTCAAACAGGATATACACCATTTCAGTCAGGCTTTCCAATGTGGAATGAGAAGTTTTATTTCAAGTGACATCCAGTATTCCTGCCTTGGACAAAGACTTGTTTTTCCAGTGCTGTGAAATAGCTCTTGAAGTCACAGCTCTGATTTCTGGGTTCCCTGCACCTTGCTGTGCATCACTGCCTTTTCATTAAGGAGATCTGTCTCTGGTAGAACACTGGCTACTCTTACAGTGGATTATTTTGTTGTTAGACTTTATCTATCTCCTGCTTCCTCTGTATGTTTTACTTGTGTAAATGCTGCATCACCTCTCATTTCTGATCATGCAACCATCTCCCAAACAAGAACGCAGCACTGAGAGGCTTAAAGGGATGGCACAGAGAGCACAGATTTTTGGCAGCTCAGCAACAAGTGTGTAAATCATGGCACGATGAAAGATGCTCACAGCCTCTAGAGACATGCCAAGAAATATTTCCTTTTAATTTCAATGTTAATTTAAATCTGGTTTGAGTTTGTTTAAGTTCTTGTGCTGTTTGCATTTTATGATGTGCAGTGCAGTAAAAGGAACTTGTACTTAAACCTATGTGGATCTTAATCCAGGCTTTTTACACTTCCTATTACCACATTGTCATTATTAAATGTAACTACCACCATAACTGGTCGTAACTGCTAGAAAGCTTCCTCTCTCAGACTTCTGCTTTACAGCTATTTTCATTTTCCCTTCTCTGTCGTTGAAGCTGAGTGACTTCACACGAGAGGTAACAAGATGCTGTTACGTTGCTAACTGAAAAAAAATCTCATTTTAGGCCAAAAAGTATGCATGATACTCTAGGGAAACCATGCTGCATGTCGCAACAGGTCAGCATCACAGGAAACAATTCATTTTGTAAGCATCATTTGAGCAGTATCAGTATTTTAAACCTGAGGTGCATCAGTTACGTGCTCTGTAAAGCTATGAAAAAAAAATCTGATTTTGAGTACAACAAATCCTTAGCAAATAGCAGTTCATACTTGTCATTCTAAGCATAAATTGTTTTTGTGTTTCTGCTTTGCTTTTCATACCGAACAAACCCTGTCAACCGCACAAATCCATAATTTTACCTTCCCTTATCTCTCTCTTTTTTTCTCTCTTCAGAGCAGCAATCCTTTTTATTTGAATTGCCAGCTGTATGGAAAATCTGATTACTGCCTGGTGCTGCTGAATAGCTGCTTAGCCAAGGTGGGCAGGAGCGAAGAGCTGGCTCTCCTAAAGCCTCCCTTCCTGGAGATGCCTTTCAACAAACGGTCCTTCCGCAATGGTGTGGGATCAGGAATTAAAAAAACTTCCTTTCGAAGAGCAAAGTCCTAAACAAATGTTCCAAGCCGTACCCTCGGTTTTAGCATCCCATGCCCAACTTTGTGCTTAAAATCACCTTAATGCTTTTTCCTGCCAAAACCATCAGACACAAAATGTCACATATCTTCATCTTGTAAGCAGATGTTTATTTCAAAGAGCACAAGCCAAGTGGAGCAGATGGAAGCGCTCAGAACGGGCTTTGTTTTTGGAGTTACAGTATCATAAAGTTTTGTATGGAAATGAATGTTTTCTTTTGGTTAATTCCCCTTCTTTGTAAAGCTACAGATTCAATCAGCTGGCTCCTGATTAGCACAAAGGCAGCCGTCCTGTCCCAACCCCTCTCGTTGCTGCCAGCTGCTGTGGCAGCGTTCGCACAGATCCCCAGGGTGTTTAATTTCTCATTTCTGAAAGGTGTGAAGGGCCACGGCTGAAACAGAGCCTGGTCCTGCTTGCAGCTTCTGCTTTCTTCGTAATGTTGTTATTTAACATAACTTTTCTGGGAAATGATGTCTTTGGGGTGTGTGATCTCATTTCCAGAGGAGTCCTGGGAAGTCATGCTGAGGCAGGGTACCAGCAGCTCCCATTGCCTCGACCAATTGACTTGTGTAGGGAACACACGCCTGATGAATTGTGTTTCTGCTCATGGCTGCAGGTGTGGCACAGTAACTAGCAATGCTCTTAATTCTCTCTAAAGAATTTCATAAAAGATTCGTTTGGTCTGAAAACGTGTAAGCATTTTGTGTAGGAATGGTCATCTGCTATGTGAGGTTTCCCTCGTGGCTGTCTCCTCCAAATGCAATGTTCCAGGCTGTAACTTTGCTTTGAAAACATTGAAAGTTATCTGTGCAGTGCATTTTGAACTGAAATTTGAAATAATAATAAATAAGTACGTGGACCCTTTCTAGTATTTCCTTATTAAATATCAGGTTGCTGTTCCATCAGAATAAGGCTGGGTGGCACATCAGCCACTGCCAGCAGCTCCACTCCTCCATTTTGCAGCACGAGCCTGTGGAGCAAAGAGACCTGAGCATGGAGCAGTGCAAGTGTTGCTTAATTGTATAATCAGAGAATCACAGAATGTCTGGGTTGGAAGGGACCTTTGAGTTCACTGAGCCCTACACCCTGCTGTGTTCTGGGTGCCCCCCCAGCTCAGGCTGCCCAGGGCCCATCCACCCATGGCCACGGACACATCCAGAGATGGGCACCCACAGCTCTGGGCAGCAGTGCCAGCGCCTCATTGCCCTTTGAGTAAAGGAATTCTTCCTCACATCTGACCTACATGTCCCCTCTTCTAATTTAAAACCACTCCTCTCTGCCCATATCTGTACTGAAGTAGTGAAGCATCACACATTTACAACCTGCTTAAGCACTTTGACACCTTTTGCCCTTTCCCATGCTGGCTGCTGTGATTTCAGAGGCTGCAAATGCCCTGCTGGTGTGAACTCCTGACTCCAAGCTCTCACAAGTTCTCCTGGGAAGCAGTATGGCAATGCCTTTGGCAGCGTGAACATGAAAGCAAGGTGGGTATCCAGTCTATGACAAGTAGGTGCCAAGAAGAGAGGTGCTTCCTTGCCCAGTACTACTTCAGGGCCTTTTAATTAAGGAAAAGAAGTTACTGGAGTGGAATTATTCCCTTGTGCAGATGTTAGGAGTGTGCTCCACATCTGTGCATGCCTGCATTCAGCAGCACGGTCCTGCTGCAGTGCAGACACCAGGGGCTCTGGCCCTGCAGCTCCCAACACCACCTGCCTTCTATTTCTAGGGGAAAGAAAATAATAATAAAAAATTCCAGATTTAGCTTTCTGTTGGGCTTTCACATCCGTTATAATAAACTTTGTTTCTACATAATGAAGTATGTTCCTGCCTTGGTAATGTGTGATAAACTTGGTTGTCTGTGATCCTCCACAGCCACACATGCAGCTCTGAAAACCAACTTACTTTTCATTGTTTGTGCAGGTCTGCAACCAACCTCTGTCGCATTTGGTGATTGCCTTTGAGCAGAGGGTGCTCAAAAACGTGGATTCTCCTGCTGCCCTGTAGCAGCAGTTCTGCTCTCAGTGGTCTACTCTCACCTCACCAGCACTGGTGCTGCCTTCAGCACGAAGTGCTAAACTCCCATCTGAACTTTAAAGGTGGTTTGATGTGGTAAGAAACAAGAGAGACCTCAGTGATCTCTGTCATTACTCTGAAAAGGCATTTTGCTGACATTTTTTTTACTTTTTTCTTTGCTAAACTAAAGAAAGCACAGAGCAGACCAGAGGGCAGGCAGAATGATGCTATGTTTAGGACTGAGTACCAGGCTGAGGAGCTGGAATGCTTCATTCCATCACAGGCATTGATAGCTGGGACCTCAGGTGAGCCTCTTCATTTCTCTTCCAGCTCTCCAGCTGAAACATAGCATTGCTAACTAGTCAGAGGGAGTTTTACCCTGCTTTGTTCTAATATTTGGAGGCTTGGACTTAATGGGAGACTAACTCCCACTAATGGGAGACTTGAACAATTAGATCACCTGGTGTAATAACGTCTAAATGCCTTGCAGTCCTAGTCCTAGTTGTGCCCACTGTGCTCTAATTGCAAAGCTACTATGCACAATGTTCATATTTTCAGTGTGCATCCTGGAAGTGGGGAGAAGAGGGGCATGGGCACCTCGAGGGCTGGCACAGGGCTGCTCTGTACCCAGCCTGGGTCTTGCTAATGAACTAAGCTGGTGTTTGGAGCAGCGGGGATGGCCATGGGTCAGACAGGCAGCCGTGCACATTGGCCACTGCTCCTCTGCCTCCTACAAGTGGTCCGTGCCTTTGAACAAGATGGCCAATGTTCTCTACTGGGTGAAAATGAAAGGAGTAGATCCAATAAAATCTGAAGGTGTAAAATCTATCTGAAGACCGAAGGAGGAATTAACATTTATTCTTCTTCACAGATTATTGGCAAGAAAGGCATTTAGATTAACTGATGTAATAGCATCTAATTTCCTTGCGAGATTGAAAATTAGATGTTGTAATGATATACCAATACTTGGCTTTCTGATTACCAAGCGTATATTAAAGTACATATATCCCATTTAGATTTCCTAATTTGCTATTATTTGCCTGTAGATGATAACTTATTGCCTTAAAATACTGGAAAGAAGAACTGTCTTGATACTTTAGGCCTGGATATAGTTTTGACCTTAACAGAGAATGAGACGGATATGAGAGAGTATATTAGATGTTGTTATTACTGTAATAAAATGCAGATAAAAATCATAGTGCAGAAAGACTGTAAGACAACTATTAAGCATTTGTCATATAAAGAAAATAAAAACTTAACTTATCAGATATTCTGACACTTTAAAGATTTGTCATGAAAAAATGCTTCCAACAGCAGAGCGTTTATGCAATATGTCATTGATGAGCTGTCTGCTTAAGTGTTTAAAGAGTTTGGAGAAAGATGAGAAAAACGTCAAAGATGGGCTTTTCATTAGTTTGACAGATGATCTCACTGTATTTACCAGGACGAGGTGGGCTCTTTGTTCTGTCCTGACCTGGTGGTTGGTGATCCCAGTCAAACCAAAGCTTGTTGACTGACGAAATGGCAGAGCTATACATCAGGCTATTCACTTTGCTGTTTGGCTTCATAAGATGCTTAGAGTCAGGGGGAATTTTTCTGCCATGTGGTGATTGAAACACTTTTTTTTTTTTCTAATACCCTACTGGATTTGAAGTCATTGAGTTGATTAAGCTTAAAATTAAACATATCTTAAAAGCCTGATCGACTGAGACCCAGCTTCTGAACATCTTCAGCATGAACCTTCCAGAGGACATAAAAGGGCTCGATGAGATAAGAAATGAGCTATCGAGTGCTGCTCATGAGACATCATCCTCAACTCCTTGAAGTCAACAGAAAGCTACTGAGAGTCTTCAGTGGGCTTTGGATCAGACGTTTGGTGTGTTAACGGTAAGAGTATTTGCGTTCACCCGGTGAGTCTCTATGGCAACACCTCACAGGAGCTGCGTGCTCTAATAGAGTTTTCTTCTCATTGATTTTGGTGGCTTGTGCTTCCTGTCTGCCTTTTAGCCCACCATATCTCAATCTGGGGACCACGGCATGGCCAGCATTTCAAAACCGCGGCCGAACGCTGGGCGCTGTGCCTGGCTCCTTATCTTCATTAGCACCCAGCACACCTTCATTAGCAGCGTGGCACTCGTGTGGAGCCAAGGTGTAGAAGAATTTGTGTGTGCAAATTTATTTATAAACACAGAGATGTAAATATAAGAGTGAACGCTACTGCAGTGATTTCCATCCTCTCCTTTTCCTTTTGGTGAGTGGGTGCTGGTTGTGTGCGTGTGTTTTGGAATTTCATTTGTTTTCAAGTAATATCACAAAGTAAATGAAAGGGAAAATGGAACTCAAATACGTTCATTTTGTAATTATGCAGACTAAAAATGAGAATTTCGGAGAAAAATGTCCCATGTTAGTAGTATTTATTCCCTCTTGATGATGACTTCATTGATAATCCTCTGCAGTGCCGTTTCAGAAGATGTTTGCAGCGAATGAAAGCCTGGAGCAGTGAACCTTTCAGTGTGAACCTGCTGTGATGGGGCTCTTTGCCTGCAGCAGGGCTTCACGCTCGCCACAACAGCAGTGTTTGAGGCCTTTCCCAGCACTGTGTGCTTCTTTGTGAGCATCCATCAGTGCACTGGGCATGCCGAGCAGAGCCCAGCTGGCTGCAGTGGGAGAAGCACTCAATTCACATTTAGACATTTACTCTCTGGCCATAAATTTAGCTGTCTTAATTTTGAATTGGGTCCCAGTGTTTCTGCTAATGATTTTCTTGAAGCCCTTCTTAAATGACTTCAAGAAAACAATAATGGTATTTATGGTAAGAGTCCCCAGTTTGCAGAAATGTGTTAAAGATATCAGATGCTCTCAGTTTGAAGTCACAAAGGCTCTTGCTACACTTCTGCATGTTTTGGATAAGAGAATCTGCTCTGTAAAAGGCTTCTCAGCCAGACGTGCCTCTTGGTTTCCCTGTGCTATGACAAAGGACGTATTTGACTCTGCTGGTCTTTTTGCTTTTTAGTTTTAGCCAGCTCTGCAAATTATTCCTTCCTGCTGGCAATGTGTGTCTTGTTAGCTTCCTGTGTGATGGGAGCAGCACAGTCACAAGTGCATTTTTTTGCTGTTCAGTGATGCCTAGCAAAGTGCATCCCGTGAAATGCCACTTCATTTCACGTTTCTCAGTTCCGAATTCATTTTCACATACAAAATATGGCAAAATTCTTGTTGCACCAGACACCGGGGCACACTGGGAAGGATGCTAAGTCATTCACTTAATTAGGCAGCAATTGGTGCTGGCTGGAGCGCGCCGCAGTGCAAAGCAGCAGTGTGGAAGTCAAGGGGATGAGCTGCTCGGGTGCTCTGCGTTGGCTCAATCTCATATGTAGGTATCCAAGCTAGGCCCCACTGCCCTGCTCTGCCCTCCAGATGAGCAGCAGAATGACAAGTGCTGTATTTCTATACCTTTAAATGAAATAGCACAGTTAGGAGAGCACAAGCTTTCCCTGATTCGCTATTTGTATTCTCTCTTATCTTTGATTACCTTTGGCTATGTGATCTAACCGTGTCCATTTATTAATGAGGTTCCTTATGGCCACTTCAGGCAACGCAGGAAAATTGACTGGAGGAGCTCATGGAGCAATTTAAGGCCAAATCCTGATTGCAGAACGTAATGAAGTATGCTAACTGACGCATGGAGATCCTGTTGATTACTTTAAACAATCTTAAATGAAAGAAGACAAATGACCTGTGTGGGTGGAATTGATGCAATTGGCATACGAAAAGATACTTAGAAACCAAAAAAAAAACCAATTATTTTCCTTTTTGGGAAGGTGGGATGATGATAATATTTTCCTTTCCCGTGTACAAATAGCATGTGATGACACAGCTGGGCTCTTCCGTCAGTGGGCACATCGCTGCCAGGGCACAGTCCCCATCTCAAGGAGACGTACCGAGCAAAAAACCCAACCAGCTTCTCTATTTCTGTATCAAGTAGCAATTCATAGCACCATAGAGCTGTTCAGGCTGGAAATGACCTCTCACATCCTCAAGCCCAGCCCTACCATTCCCACTGCCCACATTCCTCAGTGCCACATCCCCACAGCTCTGAACAGATCCAGGGATGCTGACCCCACCACCTCCCTGGGCATCCTGTGCCGGTGCATCACTGCTCCTTCTGAGGAGAAATTGTTCCTAATGTCCAACCTGAACCACTCTCTGGTGCAACTTGAGGCCGTTCCCTCTTGTCCTAATCCTTCTCCAAACTTCTGCCACTGTCCCACTGCCTTTGGCACACCGTGCTGCCTTCACACAGCACGTTCTTCCCAGCGCATGGCAGCAGTGCAGCATGGCCAGGTTTGCTCAGTGACAGCCAGGTAAGACAGTTGCTCTTTTGCATGTGAAGCGCTGTGTCAACGGGCATATTCAGGCATATGAACTTTACAAATCGTTCCTTAGGAACAACAATTAAGGTGCCATTTGCATACTTGTGTTAAGGAAATGAGTAACATTTATCATCAGCGTGTTCTCAAGATGAAGTCAGGTGTTTTGGCACACCCTGCATCTTTGGCATTCACACTCTGCATCTCTCAGCCTGCAGCACGGCTTCGTCAATAGCTTTCATGGGCACAAAGTCCTTAAAATGAAAAACAAGAGTTTTATATACAGATGTAGATATTTTGGGAAGGCACATGCACTTATTTCCTTTTTTAATTATGTAAAATATTTCACATTAGAGGTGAGCGTGCTGAATCTTCTTTAAAGATTGCTGCTTTAAGGGTCTCATGGCTGAAGATGGTTATATTTGCCATAAGGAAGCACAGAGGGCTTTTAGCAGCGGTTGTAGCAAGTGATATTTCAGAACCTTTGTGTCACTCCTTTGGGTTTATTTGGAATGACCCCAGTACAGTTTTATACTTCTCGCAATGCCTTGTTAAATACTGCAGTGGTCGGAAACAACAGCAAGGTAAGCACTTGTTCATGGCTAACAAAACATCACTGGCAAAAAACAGCAAACACTGCCTCTCTCCAGGGATCTGGCTTGTAGTGCATGAAAAACTCTTTATTTCTGAGAGTTACTTCTAAAATTCTTGACCTTCAGGAAATGGTTCAATTTTCCCATAAATAAGCAATGACTTTCACATGTCAGTGGGGGAGAGTGAAGAGATTGTTCTCTTTCTGTGAATATTTCTCAGCTGCAGAGCGGCGGAGGCAGAAGCCCGGCGTGGGGTCCTGCAGCAATAAATGGGGCCAACCCTCCTCCTCCTACAGCCAGTTCCCATCACCCCCTACATCCCCATGGGCAGGCACATGCGTTGTACATCCAGAAGACACAAACTTGTCCTTGAGGCCAGGCTCCGCTTGGATCCATGAGCAATTTCAGATTTCCTTTCGTTTCAATAGCACTCACTCAAGCCAAAATTTAAGAAAGAAAAAAAAAGTTATCAAAGAGATAAAAGCCTGTGATGTACGGATATTCTGCCCTTTCTTCATTTTCGTGTTCATGGGGTTCATTTTTGTAATTGGGTGGGGCTGGAGAGGGAAGATGTGGCATTGATTTCTTGCGAAAGCCTGAAGTCGCTGCAGGTTAGCATTCCATAATTATTTTTGTCATGAAGATGAATGCCATCCTAAAAGAGTTGGAAGCTAACGGCACCGTGGCTTTGATATATGAATATTACAGCTTTGAATGTTGGAATGGCATTATCGATGCTTTATGGCTTTATGACTCTGAGACATTTCTTAGTCTCTGATTCAGAAATACATTTCCTACGAATTTTATAGCGACTTTTGGTCTTTGCCTTTTTTTTTTTTTTGGCTTGCCTTTGATTTCAAACTGCTCCTTGAAGTGAATTTAAAAGAGCATAGGATTTTAGAGCTATGAATTCCCAAACTTAGGCACTGAGGAGACCCTTCCCCCCTCCCCAGGCTCGTGCCCTGTGATGCCATGGAGCGTATTCCTGCACTCCAGCTCCTGCTGGGAAATCACTGCCCTCGGAGATAGCTGCTGCAATGGGAAGCAGCTCATGTGCATTATATTTTCTGAAGTGTGCAGTCTCCTAGCTATACAAAGATCATGCAAATGTGGTATTTAAAAGAATATACTTTCGGAATTGTAGTTTTTAAATGAAAATGGCATCGTTTTGTTTAGAACGCGTTTCTCCCCTCACCCCCAGCCTGCCAAAGTGCTTCAGCTCGGCGCGTTACAGTAAGCGCGATTTCAAATGCGTCTGAGGAAGCAGCAGAATGGAAGACTGCCCTCTAACGTCAACAGAGCAACCAGAGGGGCTGAAATGCAGCAAAGGGCTGTGGAGGAGGATTGAAATCAGGGAGGGAAGATTTAGGTTGGATGTCAGGGGGAAATTCTTTACAGGGAGAGTGGTGAGGTGCTGGAACAGCTGCCCAGAGAGGCTGTGATGCCCCGTCCATCCCTGGAGGTGCTCAAG